AAAAACACACAGACACAATTAATCGTCGATACCCGGGAAAATATAGGAAAATATGGGAAGTGGGGGGGAAGACAAACAACCCAAAACATATGGGAAAATATTGGGATTTGTTTTATTCGTGTGTATTTATTTGTGTGTCTTGGGACCCCTTCAATGATGACCTCCCACCCGGTACGAACAAGAGAGACCCTTGAGGAGCCCAGGGCCACGTGCCGCAAGATATATCCACGAGGTGGAGTCGACACAGATTGCGCGAGTCGATCTCGGAGGCCGCCGCACACACCGAGTCGGTCTTCTGACAAAGGACTGGGGAGGATAATACAGTCGGGGCCCTGAAGAAGGACCCCTTTTGGTTGGGGAGGGGCTCCGCGTTCCTTAAGTGTTTCGCAGCTTGCCTCAGGTTTTCTTTATGTTGTCGATCGGAAATCGAAGGTTAACTTATGTGAAAAAGAGGCCTCGTTCCTTATTTTGGGTTCCTTAGGTCAAGGCCCCGACTGCACATGGTGACGGCGGAACACCACCTTCATGTAGTAGACTGCCACGTGGGCACCGAACAGTTGGACAGGACGGAACGCGACACTGAGTTTTCTGGCGTTCACCAGATCTCAGTTCCAGATCGACATGGGGCACGATCTCCCGATGCTTCGAGGAGGGCTCAAACGATTCGCAAGGAGTTGTGTGTTGCTGGACGCCCCAGCTGGCACTTACCGTCAAGTATGTGTGAACCTACCATGAAGTCGGGCCTGTCCCTCTACAGGAGGATTGTTCAAGAATAGTAAAACATAGTCGGGAGACGATGCTTTCGTATTATGTTGGGAAGCTGTGAGTATGTCTGTGGGTATGGTTTAGCTGTTCGTCCAGAAGCCCCCTGTAGGGGGCACGCCCGACCTCAACCTAGCCAGGAGGAGGAGGAGGAGGAGGAGGATGAAGAGGAGGAGGAGGAGGAGGAGGAGGAGAATGTTGGGAAGGTGTGATTCTGTTTGTGGGTATGTTTTTTTACTTGTTCGTCCAGAAGCCCCCTGTAGGGGACACGCACGACCTCGGCCTGGCAGCACCCACCGTGGCACGCGGACCGCTCGAACGCCACCCGCGGCCTCTTCTGGGCCCTCCACCGCGCGTGCTCGCACACGTACTCGTGCGTGGACGGATGGAGGAGGAGGAGGAGGAGGGAGAGGAGGAGGAGGAGGAGGAGGAGGAGGAGGAGGAGGAGGAGGCGGAAGAGGGGGAGGAGGAGGAGGCAGAGGAGGCGGAGGAGGGGGAGGAGGAGGAGGCAGAGGAGGCGGAGGAGGAGGAGGAGGCCTCTGGTCGGCTCCAATGCCAACAGGGTGACTTGTTTCAGAGTCAGCGGCAGCATCTCGAGTCAAGAATCATGCCACTCACGGCTTTTGCTTTGGGATGCAGTCTCTGGGTGTTTTGAGTACCCTCGATGGCACGTAGCCGAACGCCCTCCCGCCTTAGCGCGTGGGCGCGAGCTTGCGTATGCACAGCTACCGAGGTGTTCGCTTGCGCGTTGTTGCAAGGGGCGCACGTGTTAGCCCGCACTGCGCAGTGATTTTCGGAGGCCAGTCTTTTGAAGGCCGAGTCCACTTTACCGAGAGACCCTAAACAACGTTTACCATAGGTGGCCTCTTCTGTTGCCGCATCGGTTGCGCCAAACACCCCGCGGGCAACCAAATCGTCCATTGCCCCAGTTGGTATGCCAGCGGGCACACGTTGCCAAACCGTTACTTGCCTCAGCGGGCACAGTTTGCGCCAGTCTTCCCGCGAAAAGCGAGTCGTCAGTTGCCCCGGCGATCTTGCAATAGGTAGTGCTATCGGTTTGTGTCTCGTCATTTCTATGATAGCCCCGTCAAGCCAACCCGACCCTCGTACAGTCAAAACGCTGAAATGAGGAACAGCATGGACTCCGAAGGGGTTCGCTGTTCCTAAGGTCCTTCATTGCTTTTCCTCCATCCCTCCTCATGAACGAATGCGGCTTTGGGGCCAAAAAGGGGCTTGATTCCTTATTTAGCGTTCCTGATGTCAGCGGCCCGACTGTACTCGAGTCTTACGTCTCCCCGACCAGGGTGTGCCAGAGGTTGCTCCACAGGTTTCGCCAGTCTCCCGCGGGCAACACACACACGGGGTGAACCTAAAATTTTGCAGCGCCCCAGCAGGGCCCGCTCGGCCTCTCCCCCACATGCGGGGGGGCGACGACAACGACGACGACGACGACGACGACGATCACGACGACGGCGTCGACGACGACGGTGACGACGACGACGACGACGACGACGACGACGACGACGACGACGGCGGCGGCGACGACGATGGCTACGACGACGACGACGGCGGCGGCGGCGACGGCGACCTCCGGAGCTCTCCTGGAGCACCACAGCACCACGCCACACACGCCACACCCACAGCACCACACTGCACCCACATGGGGGGAGCCCATCGGGGGGGGGGGGGGCGATGCCTTCAGCATGAGGGGGGGGCCCGGGCCTGGGTCATATATTGTATCATAGGTTGCCTCATCGTTTGTGCCAGGCACCCAGGGAGCAATCAACTCGTCCGTTGCCTCAGTGCATGCGCCATGCTCTTGCCATATGTTGCGCATGCCACGCCGCTGGTAAACAGCACGTCCGCTGCCCCAGTGGGTGCGTCATGGGCTGCGCCGTAAGCTGCGCCAGACACCCAGGGGTCAATCAAATCGTCCAGTCCCGAGTGGATGTGTCATAGGTTGCGCCGTAGGCTTCGCCAGGCACCCCGCGGGCAACCAAATAGCCTGTCGACCCACTTGTTGCGCCGTAGGTGTTGCGCCTGGCACCGCGCGGGCAGCCCACGAGCAGCCAAACCGCCAGTCCCGAGTGGGTGCGTCATAGGTTGCGCCGTAGGTTGCGCCAGGCACCCTGCGGACGGCCAAACCCGTCCGTGGCTCCTTGCGGTGCCGCAGGTTGCGCCAGATGTTGCGCCAAGTTGACCGTTGACCCAGTTGTTGCGCCATAGGTCGCCCCATATGTTTTGCCACAGGTTGCCCCATATGTTGCGCCAGACACCCCGCGGGCAAACACATCGTCGTAGGTGTGCCAGAGGTTGCGCCATCAGTTGCACCAGGCGCCCCGCGGGCGAAGCGTGCCCTGCTCCAGTGGACGTGCCATAGGTTGCGCAACAAGTGCCGCCCAATGATGAATCGGACACTCCGCGGGTGCGCCATGCGTGCGCCATGGGCGACCACGTGCTCCTCCGCTTCAATGGGTGTGCCATAGGCTGGGCCTGCCTTGCGCCAGGCACCCCGAGGTCAACCGAAGTGTTCCGCGGGCGACCATGTTGTCCCTCGCCCCAGCGGGTGTGCCATGCGTGCCGCATGTTGCGCAAGACACCCGCGAGCATCCAAAATCGTCTGGTGCCCCAGTGGGTCGGCAATCGGCTGCGCCCAACACCCCGACGGTAACCACGAGGGGGGAATGAGGATCATGTCCAGTCCGAGGTTTCGTGTCCTCCCTAATCGTTCCCCATGGGTCCTTCACGAGGCTCCCGACGGGAGTGCCTGCCATGCGGGTATGTCCAGTCTTTGGAGGTGGTGTGGGAGACATCAAGGCCTCACGTTCCTGCTCAAGGTTCCGCGGCGATCCAGCCATCGGCGCCGACATGACTCGCTGAGATATCAAAGGATAGGGGAGTTTGGCCTGACATTTGTTGGCAAAGCGTTCAGGGGCACCGCATGCCCCTCGACACACACACACACACATCTACATCTACATCTACATCTACATCTACACCTACACCTACATCTACATTTACATCTACAGCTACAGCTACATCTACATCTACATCTACATCGGCATACATACATACACACATACATACATACATGCATACAAACCTACATACAGAAAGACAGACATACAGGCAGACAGACAGACAGACCGACAGACAGACATGCAGAGAGACAGACAGACAGACTAACAGACAGACAAACATACGCGCACGCACGCACGCACGCACGGACACACACATACATACATACATACATACAGACAGACAGATAGACAGACAGACAGACAGACAGACAGACAGACAGACAGACAGACATGCATGTATACATACACATTCATACATGCATGCATGCATACATACACACATACACACACATACACACATACACACACATACATTATGTAGTGTGTGTGCGCGCACGTGCTTAAATACACCGGCACAAGTATCCATACACCTACATGTCGATGTATGTATGGCGTGCATGCACGTGCGCGCGTATGACACGTATGCACATATTAACGCGCCCATGTGCACGCGCACGCACGCCGCCTACGCGCGAAATTCGAAGGACCAAGGTGCATGGCGCGAAGCGCCACTGCAGTCTTGTGCAGATATACATCCAGTGTCAAATATACATATAAATATGTGTATGCATATGTATGTGCATACATATCTATTCATGCGCGTGTGTATATATATATATATACATATATCTATATATACATATATGCACATCCGCCGCCTGCCGCGGCACCAGGACATCGGTTCCCAGGCGGTGCATTTGTATGAACCACCACCTCGCGCTAGGAATGGGAATAAGCTCGAGGCTGGTGAAGTCGGGGTCCGAGGCTGGGACCGTCTCCCTCGGGGGGGGGGGGGGGGGGGCGCGAAGGGGCGGGGGTCGAGGCCGGGATAAAAGCTCCCTCTCGGAGGCCACGAGGTCGTCGGGGTCCAAGGCTGGGAGAAGCTTGAATCGGGACGACCGAAATGAGTACGGAAAGAATGGGCACACTGCCCAACAACAGTTCCTGTTCATTTTGAACAGGACTCGCTATCCGCGCCGCCGCTGCCTGTGGCCATTGAAGACAGAAGGCCGTCTGCCCAACAGCGGCTTCTGTTGGTTTGGGACAACATTTGTTGTTCGGCGCTGTGCCCATTTTTCCCATACCCATTTCGGGCGCCGAAATCGAAGCTCGAGGCTGGGGTAGGCTCCCTCTGCGCAGCGAGCGGCGCTGCCCGCGATGAGCGCCGGGGGGCTGGGCCTCGACTCGCTCGAGATCGACGACGCCCTCGGCGTGGAGCAGCGGCCTCTGTTGCGCGCAGCGGAAGGCGCGCGGGGGGGGGGACCCCCAAAGGCAGGGCTCGCTTCGGTGCCTCCTGTGCGATTCGATTCGAGGGCGATTCGATTCGGATTTCGATTCGATTCGAGTTCGATTCGATGCAGCATCCGATGCGATTCGATTTGGTTCGAGTTCGATTCGATTGGATTTCGGGTCGATTCGATTCGAGTTTGATTCGATGCATCCGATGCGGTTCGATTATGTTCGTGTTCGATGCGATTCGATTCGATTTCGATGGCTTACGATTCCGATGCGACTCGCTTTGGGTTTCCGATTCGGGCCTCCGATTCCTCAGCGTTGGCGTTACTACTAGCCTGCCGATGTTCCGCCGATGCGATTCCTCCTGGCTCGGTTCTGCCGATTCCCGCCGATCCGATCAATTTCGATCGCCGATCCGACTTATCGATTCGATTATGTGCTCTCCTGCCCAAGCGGTGTGGCGACCTCACCGTCTGGTGAGTCGGCGGGGAGTCGACATAACCGCACGTCAGAGCCTCGAATCATCAGGGCTGGGGGTGGTCGGGGGTGACGAACGAGGCGTGCCTCGTGGGCCTGAACCAGAGTTGCCCCAGACCAGAAGGTATCCCGAATACTTCGGGCGTCCAGCCACTCCCGAGTGGTCGGGGCTGGGGGCGGTCAGGGGTGGCTGCTGGTTCCCGCCTCGGGGGCCCACACTGGACTTGCCCAGTGCCGGAGCTGTCCGGGAGATAACTCGGACGTCCAAACGCACCTTGGCATCGCTCGGACGTGAGCAGTTTCCCTTCGGCGAGGGCCATCGAGAGGGTATCCTTGATCATTGGGCGAAAAAACCACGCACGAAGCCGCACAAAGCAATGGGCATCGAGACGTCCGAGCGATGGCCAGGCACGGTCTCCTGGGGCTCTTCTGGGCCGTCCTCCGAGGGCGCCTCGGGCGAGGCGGGGGCCTCCCGGGGTTCCCGAGGCGGTGCGCGTGAGCGGAGCGTGCGGGGAGGCCTCGCGGCTGTCTTAAAGGAGCTTCCAGGCCCGCGCACGGTCTGCCACTGCGGGGGTGGACAGGCCTCGGGGGTGGACAGAACCCCCAACAGTGACACGTCGATTAGTGAATTGTCCGTTTTCGGTTCTCGAGAGGGCGCCGTGGCCGCTATTTTCCAGGCTTGCGCCCGCCAGGTTTGGGCCTCAGGTCGTTTTCACTAAACCACGTTTTACTAAAGGGAGGTCTGTCCATCCCCGAAATTACCCTGGCGCGTCGATTAGCGAACGGGCCGTTTTCGGTTCGCGGGAGGGCGTCGCGGCCGTCACTTTTGCGGGGAGCGTGCGGGGAGGCCTCGCGGCTGTCAGGAGCTTCCAGGCCCGCGCACGGTTTGCCACTTCTCATTACCCATCAAACCACCTCGACCCAACCCGAAGGCTCCGATTTGCCCTCGGTTTCTAGTGGGGGGGGGTCGGGAAACATCGAAAAAACACATGCGGAACCCTTACCCCCCCAACCCGAAATTCGGGTCTTCGGGTTGGGTTGGGATGGTCTGGAAGGCAGTCAACTTCGGGGGTGGACAGGCCTCCTACCCTGGCGCGTCGATTAGCGAATGGGCCGTTTTCGGTTCGCGGGAGGGCGTCGCGGCCGTCACTTTTGCGGGTCCAGGTCCGTCGGTCTCGGTCCCAGGCCGTTGTCGCTAAGGGGAGGTTTACTAAAGGGAGGTTTGTCCACCGCCGAGTCTCAGCGCCCAAGTGTCCCAAGATTGGCTCTGCGGGCCCCAAGACGCCAGCACAGGGTTCCGAACGCTCCCCGAGATGCCCCAAGAGGGCCAAGCTTCCAAAGCACCCATGGAGGCCTTGAAGGCACCCCAAGAGGCATTTCAAACTATGTGCATCATTCCCCTCTCCTTCTCTCTCGCTCTCTCTGTTCTTTCTTCTTATCTTTTTCTTCCTTATCCTGCACGTTGTGACATTCTCTCGATTGAGGAAGCGAGCCGTTTCATTTTATGGGAAGGCCGTCCAGCTCTGGGGAAGATGGGACTCCCAGTCGCACGCTGCCACGCCGGCGGAATTTGCCGCAGCCATTTGGGGCTCGTTCCGCCATGTGTGGGATTTGTGCTGACGCCTGATGCTGTCCATGCACCCCAGCGCGCCGTGGTTCCGTTCTGATATTCGGATGCCGTCTCCACGGATCGCCTCTTTGCGCGCAGAGGCGGAAGCACTACCATTTGGCGGGATCACCCCTCACTTCTTTGGACGCCCGAAATGGATACCGAAAGAATGGGTACGATGCCCATCAGCAGTTCCTGTTCATTTTGAACAGGATTCGCTGTCCACGCCGCCGCGGCCTGTGTCCATTCGAGACAGAAGGCCGCCTGCCCAACGGCGGCCGCTGATGGTTTGGGATAACATTTGTTGTTGGACACTGTGTCCGTTCTTTCCGTGCCCATGTCGGGCGTCCGAAAAACTTCTTCCGTGCGAGCGCTTGCTCGTGCCTCAACCCTGGGCTCCCGTCCCCTGTCCTCTGCCTCCCCCCGCTGCCCCTGCCCTTCGCCCACGATATGAGGCCACGGCCCCATGCTCGGCGGCGAGCGGGGGGGGGAGTGAGGAGGGGCGGGCCTTCTCAGAAGGCTCGGAAGTCCCCCCGGCCTTCCGAGAAGTCTCCTGAAGCCTTTCCCGAAGACGGAACAGACTTCCTCAGAGGGCGCGAGGGCTTCTGAGAAGCCCTGCCGCCCTCTGAGAAGGCCTTCTCCTTCTCGCTTCCCCCCCCCGCTCGCCGCCGACACGCGCCATGCCCAAAATGGGCACGGGCACGCCTGTGTGCCCGACTCCGGCCTCCTTCGTATTGGGACGACCGACGTGGGTGCGGAAAGAAGGGGTACAATGCCCAACAGCAGTTCTCCTGTTCATTCGGGGGTGGGCAGAACCCCCAACAGTGACACGTCGATTAGTGAATTGTCCGTTTCGGTTTTCGAGAGGGCGCCGTGGCCGTTATTTTCCAGGCTTGCGCCCGCCAGGTTTGGGCCTCGGGTCGTTTTCACTAAACCACGTTTTACTAAAGGGAAGTCTGTCCATCCCCGATTCATTTTGAACAGGACTCGCTGTCCGCGCCGCCGCGGCCCGTGTCCATTTGAGACTGAAGGCCGCCTGCCCAAAAGCGGCCGCTGTTGGTCTGGGGCAACATTTGTTGTTGGGCACTGTGGCCATTTTTTCCGTACCCATTTCGGGCGTCCAAATCGTTTCGTTTCGCCCTGCTTCGCTTCGCCTCGCTTCGCCCCCCTGCCGTGCCTCTGCCTCCGCCACTTCCCCCCGTCGGACCCCGCAACGGCGGCCCCTCTCCGGAGGGTGGCACGGCTGAGGGCCGCGCACAGACAGCCCCCCCCCCACAGTGCTTCGGGTTTCGGGCTGCGCCCAGATAGTCCCCGCTGGCTTCCCAGGTTGTCTTGAGTCGGGCGTGTCCCCTACAGGGGGATTTTCGACGAGGAATACAAATATACCAAAAATGCAACAGAAAGGTAAAACAATACTCAAAACATAGTCCCCAGACTATGTTTGGACTATTTTTGAGTAGTTTGGGGGTATCTTTTATTTTCCGTCGGAAATCACCCTGTAGGGGGACAGGCCCTACTTAAAGGTAGGCCCAGCTGGCCTCAGCAGGCCATCCGAGCAGCCCCAGCTGGCCTCGGCAGGCTCCCCGAGCAGTGCAGGGCGGTCTCGGCACCCCGAGGCCGCTTCTGGCGGCGCCCCTCGGGGCGCTCCGCGCGCCCCGGGGTTGGGGTATCGAGGTCGCCTCGGCATGCTCGGGGGGCCTTTCGAGGCCAGTTGGGGACTCAGGGGGGCCTTTCGGGGCCAGTTCAAGGCTCCCACAATCAAGGGGCTTTCGGGGCACTCGAGGACTCTCCCGAGGGGGGCCTCGGGGCGTTCGAGGACCCTCCTGAGGAGGAGGAGGAGGAGGACGAAGAGGAGGAGGAGGAGGAGGAGGAGGAGGAGGTGCAGGAGGAGGAAGCGTACGACGACGACGACGACGATGAGGACGAGGACGCGGAAGAGGAAGAGGAGGAGGAGGAGCAGGAGGAGGAGGAGGAGGAGGGCGCAATCGGCAGGGAAGGTGAGGGCCACGAGGTCCGCCGGCTCGACGCCCGCGTCGCCCGCGCCCGCCCCCTCACTCTTATCCGCAATTGCGGGGTGCTACGGTATTACGACTAGACGTGGTTTTTCGATTATCTTTCATGCTAGTTTTGCGCTCGCATTTGCCACACATGTTTTTTCTGTTGCATTTCTACTGTAACTGCTCGTTGTCGCCGAAAATCGTCGTCGTCACCTCCAGTTGTTGTTGTCGTCGCCGCTGGTCGTCGTCGTCGTCGCCGCCGCCCGCCGCCGCTGGTCGTCGTCGTCATCGTCGCCGTTCTCGGCGGTCGTCGTCGTCTTCGTTACCGTTCCCGTTGTCGTTGTCGTCGCCGCTTGAGGTCGTCGTCGTCCCCGTCGGCTTCGTGGCCATTTGCTGATAGTTTTACTATTTCGAGCACTGGTGCTGCCAGCACTACTCCGAGTAGCATGCCCGAGGCGGCCACGTTGCCGTCCCCCCCAACCCCACGGCGGCCGGACGCCCCCCACCCGTCACGGACCTCACGTTGGGGAGTGTACAGACGTTTTTTTTCTTAAAAAAATACCACAGAGCCACAGCCACAACGAAGTTGACTTTGTCGGGAGGGCCCCTCGGGAGAGAACCCACCGACCTCGAGATGAGCACTCTGGTTGTGGTTGTGGCCGATTCGGCCATCCTGGGGCGCCACATCGACCTCAACCAGTACAAGGCGGGCTTCGGTGTGCCGACAGGTTGTGACATGCTCAAGAAGGTATCCCCCAGAGTGTGTCCTCGATGTGGTTGTGGTCGCGTGCTGTCCCCGCTGATGGGGGAAATGGGAGGGCGTGTGTCTAGGCCTTCTAGATGGGGTCCGAGTAGGTGGGGTCGAGCGACGTCGCCGATCCATCGCCGACGTTGCCGATGCATCGCCGGTACATCACCGATGCATCGCCGATGCATCGCCGATGTAGCGGCGATGCGCCGCGATCCTCCGACCCCATCTAGGAGGAGGAGGAGGAGGAGGAGGAGGATGAGGAGGAAGAGGAGGAGGAGGAGGAGGAGGAGGAGGAGCAGGAGGAGCAGGAGGAGGGGAGGAGGAGCATGAGCAGAGGAGGAGGAGCAGGAGCAGGGAGGAGGAGGAGGAGGGGGTGGAGGAGGAAGCGGAGGGGAGGAGAGGAGGAGGACGTGGGGGGGGCGAGAGGGAGAAGGAAGAGGAGGAGGAGAAGGAGGAGGCGGAGGAGAAAATGGAGGATAACGAGGACGAGGAGAGGGCAAGGAGGAGGAGGAGGAGGACGAGGAGGAGGAGGAGGGCGGCCCCGGCCCCCATCGCATCCCCCGCCAGAGGCGCCCCTCTGGCGAGCGCGCCTGCATCGCTGCCGGGAGCCGGCGCCGCCCAAGCGGTGCTGCGGCCGCCGCCGGCGGGCCAGGCGAGCAGCCGCGGCCGTGGGGCTCTCCGCCCGGCGGGATGGTCATACAGTGGGGGCCCATGCCAAGAAACACCTCCTCCTCCTCCAGCTCCTCCTCCTCCTCCTCCTCCTCCTCCTCCTCCTCCTCCAGCTCCTCCTCCTCCTTCTCCTCCTTCTCCCTCCAGCTCCTCCTCCTCCTCCTCACACATCTCCTCTCCTCCTCCTCCTCCTCCTCCTCCTCCTGCTCCTCCTTCTCCTCCTCCTCCTCTTCCTGCTCCTCCCTCCTCCTCCTCCTCCTCCTCCCCGTCCTTCACCTCCTCCTTCACCTCCTCCTCCTCCTCCTCCTCCGCCGTGGGCTCTCCACCCGGTGGGATGGACATACTCAGAGGTTCGAACCATCAGGGGTCAGGGCTGGCTCGGATTCGTTTTTCGGGATTCCATCGACTTCGGGGGCTGCGGGGGGATGCACATCATCCCCCTCGAGGGTGCGAGGGTCCGAACCTTCTGCCCACCTGCGGGAGGCCTCCCGGGGGAGGAGCGCTCCTCGACCAGAGCGCCTCGAGAAGATCGGGCCGGGCGAAAGGGGGGGATTGGGAAAGGGGGGGTTACGAAATTTGCTGCATGCAGCTGGTTTCGGCCTCACCGAGGGGCCCATTCCTCGACACAGGGCCGCCTCCGGCGCCGGGGGGCGCCGGGAAAAATTCAGCTACGTGAGCGGATTCTCACCCCCCCCCCCTTTGCTATCCCCCCCTTTCGCCCGACCCGAGAAGAGCCTGGCGGGGGGAGACGCCCGGGGCCGCCTGCGCGGGGTGCTCCCACGATATCTTTTGTCGCCGGGCCTCGGGGCGGGCCGCAGCGCCGCGCCCGCGCGGTGCGCCCGCAGGGCGCCGGCGCGCGGGAGCCCCTGCTCGAGATAGACGAGGAGGCCTCGGCCTCGGCGCGGCGAGCTCTCCTCGGGGGTGGGCAGAGCCCCCAACAGTGGCTTGTCGAGTAGTGAGTTGTCCGTCTTCGGTTTTCGAGAGGGCGCCGTGGCCGTTATTTTCCAGGCCTGCGCCCGCCAGGTTTGGGCCTCAGGTCGTTTGCACTGAACCACGTTTTACTAAAGGGGGGTCTGTCCATCCCCGATCTCCAGCGCCTCCACCGGGAGGAGGAGAAGGCACCGATGCTGCTACCCTTCTGTCGGGCGTGTCCCCCTACAGGGGGATTCTCGACGAGAAGTAAAAACAAATACCCCCCAAATGCCCCAAGATGGCCAACAAATATTCCAAACTAGTCCCCAGACTATTATTGGAGCACTTTCTGCTTAGTTTTGGTATGTTTTTTATTTTTCGTCGAAAATCCCCCTGTGCGGGGACAGGCCCGACATAAGGCTAGCTCTCTGGCACCTCCACCGGGAGGAGGAGAAGGCACCGATGCTGCTACCCTGAAGGCGGACACGTTCCTCTGCAGGAGGACTGTTTAAGAGTCGTTCTTACACATAGTCAGGGGACGATGTTTTCTTACTACGATTGACCAACTTCGGGGGTGCTTTTTTGACACTTTGTGGTTTTCTTCCAAGCTCCGCCTGTAGGCGGACATGCCCGACCAAATGCTACCCGTGCCTCGTCTGCGCCTTCCTGGTGCCCTTTCTGAGAGGCCCTCGTCGCCACGGCCGGATTCGCCTCGAGATTCTGGTCTGAGCGCACCCCGAGGAGAGGGCAGGGGAGCATGCTCGGAGGGTTGCGCTCGCGTTTATTTCGCTGGCTGTTGCTTCTCTCACTTTCGCCTCGCTCGCCTTTCGTCTCTTTCGCCGTCGTTTTGCGCGTGGATCGGTTCGCTCGCCACGGAGTGGGTTGGCGGCGCGGATCTTCGTTGTTCTCTTTGTGTGCATCTGAGTCTCTCTCACACACCTGGGCTCCCTTCCCGAGGGAGGGTCTTCCGCTTCTCCTCGGCCATCCGAAGTGGAACGCTTGGACTAGTCAGAGGGAAGGCGTGTCCGTGTAATTCACTGGGCTAGCGCAAGCGAGCGCGAGCCGACGAACGCAACCGAGCGAACATACAGAGCGAGGCTGATTGAATAGGTCGAGCGAAGCTGACCCAGCGACCTGGACCGAACGAACGCGCATGCAATCTCAGCCTGCGAGCCTGACGGTGCATTTCCTACCAAGCCATGGCAGCCTGGAGGGTTTCTCCGAAGGGCTTAGGCGACCCGTCATCCTCCTCCTCCTCCTCATCCTCATCCTCCTCATCCTCCTCATCCTCCTCCCCCATCCCCCTCCTCCTCCCCCTCCTCCTCCTTTCCTCCTCCTCCTCCTCCTCCCCTCCTCCCTCCTCCTCCGCCTCCCCCTCCTCCACCGCGTCGTCCTCCTTGTTCTCCTCTTTTTCCTCCTCCTTCTTCCCCTCTCCCCCTCTCCCTCCCCTCCTCCACCTCCTCCACCCCTCCTCCCTCCTCCCCCCTCCGCCTCCTCCGCCTCCTCCTCCTTCCTCCTCTCCTCCTCCTCCTCCTCCTCCTCCTCCTCCTCCCTCTCCTACTCGTCTCCTCGGTCCTCCTCCTCCTCCTCTCCTCTTCTCCTCCTCCTCCTCCTCCTCCTCCTCCTCCTCCTCCTCCTCCTCCTCCTCCTCCTCCGCCCCCCCTCCCCCACTCCTCTCCTCCTCCTTCTCCTCCTTTCTCCTCCTCCTCCTCCTCCTCCTCCTCATCCTCCGCCCCCTCCTCCTCTTGCTCCTCCTCCCCCCTCCCCTCCTCCACCTCATCCTCCTCCTCACTCCCCCTCACCCCTCCTCCAACTCCAACTCCTCCTCCTCCTCCTCCTCCTCCTCCTTCTCCTCCTCCTCCTCCTCCTCCTCCTCCTCATCCTCCTCCTTTTTCCTCCTCCTCCGCCTCCTGCCCTCCCCCATCCTCCCCCTCCTCCTCCCCCTCCACTTCCCCCCCTCGTCCGTTCTTTCGTTGTGTTGTTTCTTCCTTCTCCTTCTCCTCCTCCTCTCATCATCATCATCATCATCATCATCATCATCATCATCATCATCAGCATCATCATCATCATCAGCATCATTTCTTCTTCCTCCTCCTCCTTCCCCTCCCCCTCCCCCTTATCCACCTTGTCCTCCTCCTCCTCCTCCTCCTTATCATCATCCTCCTGCTCATCCTCCTCCTCGTCCCCCTCATCATCATCATCCCCCTTCTCTTCCTCCTTCTCCACCTCCTCCTCTTTTTCCTCCTCCTCCTCCTCCTCCTTCTCCCCCTCCTCCTTCACCTCCTCCTCCTCCTCCTCTCCTCCCCTTCTCCTCCTCCTCCTCCTCCTCGGGTCGACTACGGCCCCGTGGGAAACCATGTATGGCAGTCACGGGGGCGAGCATGAGGGTGTGCTTTCTCACGCGGCTGGCCCACGGTGCGCAGCCTCTGCCGAGCCGCACCGTGGTGACAAAAAGGTCCTCTCCGATGGGCCCCCTTAGGGTTTTTGGACCCGTCGGATTCTCTCTCTCTCTCTCCTTCCCCTTAGTGGCGTGCAATCCTCCTCCCCCTCCCCTCCTCCTCCTCCTCCTCCTCCTCCTCCTCCTCCTCCTCCTCCTCCTCCTCCTCCTCCTCCTCCTCCTCCTCCTCCCCCCCCCTCCTCCTCCGGAAGCCGTGCAGTTGGATGGGCGGTGGGGATGCGGAAGCGCCCCCTCCACAGCGGGCACGCAGGGCAGAGTCAGGCCAGGGCTGCAGAAGTGCGGGCGGCTGGATGGTGTGACCCGCAACCTCAACCTTAAGTCGGGCATGTCCCGCTACAGGAGGAATATTCAAAAATAGTCAAACAATAATTTGGGCACGATTTCCTTATTATTTTTGCCAATTTGGGGTATTGTTTGAATATTTTATTGGTCGGCCAAAATCCGCCTGTAGGGGGACATTCCCGACCTAACCTTAACCACGTCCAGCGCTTGCTTGCCGTCCAGAGCTTTCCCACCCCCGCCTCCCGCTTCGGCATCGCCGCGTTCCAAACCTTCAGTCTCGAGCGGCTCCCTCCATGCCGCTGTTCTGCCTTTGCCTCGTTCGCACAGGTCGCTTTCGCGGAGCTGCGCTCAGGCCGTCGGATCGGCCGGGCAGGCCGCCCACCGGGTTGTTCGGTCACGGCTGTGGGCTGCTCGGGGATCGCCGTGCCCGAAATCAATTTGCTGGGGTGTCGCACTGTCAGTTGGCCACATCCTTCATGGTATCGTTGCCAGCCGTGGATTGTGCAAACGTGATGCAAACGTGATGACGTGATGGAACGCGAAACCGACCGAGCAAACCAGACCGCGCGATCGCGACCGGGCGAAGGGATCTGAACAGCATCGACTCAGAGAGTTGGTGAAAGCGAAGTGGACCGACTGGAAATCGGAAGCGATGGTGCGACTGTTGCTTCTGGGAATTGGATAGATCCACCCCACCCGAGTGAGTACGACCGCACTAGCTTGAAGTCGAGCGCGTCCCTCCACAGCAAGAATATTCAAGAATAGTCAAGGTAGTCTGGAGACGATATCTCATGCTCTGTTGACTATTGTCGATTATGATTCGACTATCTTTCCTAGGTTCTTCCAAGATCCTCCTGTAGGAGGACATGCCGGACCTGATGTGCGCTTCAGTGTGCACTTTTTGCAAGTGGTCATGCCTCTTCCTTGATCTTCTGCAGTGTCTGCGCTTCGCATCTTCTGTGACTCCTCCCCTGGAGCCGCCAGATGAGGGAGTACAGTCCGGGCGCTGAGGAAGGAACCCTTTTCGTTGGGGAGGGGCTCGGTGTTCCTTAGTTGTTTTGCAGTTCGCTGTTGGTTTTGCTTAGGGTTCCGATGGGAAGTCGAAGTTTAACTTATGGGAACAAGGGGCCTCGTTCCTTATTTAGGGTTCCTTAGGTCAACGCCCCGACTGTAGGCTCCCTGGGGGAACGCATCGGCCCCCCATCGCGATCCCCCCGCCGACGGGAGAGAGTGACGGCAGCACGCCCCGCCCAGGCACGTGCAGTTTCGCGATCGAGGGCCTGAAGATTCGAGCTCGATGTTTCCCCCCCTGAGCCAGTAGAACGACGCGAAGATCGGGACAAAATCGGATCGGGATAACTCGAAATCTCTGAGAATCGGCGGGTTTGGAGGATGTATTGGGCGCCGCGGCCGCTCCAGAGCGTTCCGGAACGCTCTGAGAGCGCTCCGGAACGCTCTGGAGCGATTTATCCCGATCCTAGCCCTGTTCTAGCCAGCCCCCCACCCCTTAGTCGGGGGTGGACAGAACCCCCAACAGTGACACGTCGATTAGTGAATTGTCCGTCTTCGGTTCTCGAGAGGGCGCCGTGGCCTTCATTTTCCAGGCCTGAGACCGCCAGGTTTGGGCTTCAGGTCGTTTTCACTAAACCACGTTTTACTAAAGTGGGGTCTGTCCATCCCCTACTTAGGGGCCCCCGGAAACGGCAGGGCCGTATTTGCACCGTTTCCGGAAAAGCGTCTCCCGAGGACGGAAGCCGTAAAAGAAAGAGGCGACCCGAGACGGCGACACAAACGGGTCGGGGATTCGAGCCGCATGCTAGAATTGGCAGCAAAAACGGCGATGGAGCCGGCATTCGACTCCCAAATGGCGTGCCGCGCTGGCGGCCCGCGGAAGGCCTGGCATGGGGTCATTGTGTCATCCCGAGAGAATCCTTGAGGCCTCTCGCGCGGTGCGCAGTAGTTGGATTGTCCAGTCCGCACGTCCGCCCCGTCATCTATATATATATATATGTGTATACACATATATGTGTACACATGTATATGTATATATATATACACATGTGTATGTATATATGTAGATGTGTGTGCATAATTCTATATATATATATATAGGTTTGCGTTTGTGATTGTGCGTGTGTGTTTAACGACGTTCGTTGGGCGATGCTTTGGCTCAGGTCCGACGCGAATCCAACGTGGATTGGACGCAATTGGGGTCTCAAGCCGACGCGCGAGGCC